TAGGAATCTGGTGTAACTCCCCTCTTGGGTTATTAACGACGAACCTTCGGTACATTAGAAGAGGTAATAGTGCATGCACATTGAGTGTCCTAAGTCGTAAATTTCGTTTTTTTAGTACACCATCCGAGATCAAAATAATCCAGAAGTCGTAAATAGCGAAAAGCATCTTAGAAGAGCTGTTTTGTATTGACTACAGCCATAACTGGGTCCAGTGCAGATGACAAAAGGCGATAAATCTTCTAACACGAACATCTTACCTCTATAATAAACGAACGTCTATGACTCATATCATATATATATATATAATTTTAAAAAGAATGGGAATATATTATACCCCCCCTTCTCTCATAAATAGTAATTCTTATTCAGAATTGTTTAATAAGTTATAAAAATTATATATAATAATAATAAATTATGTTTGCGGTTTTCTTTTAATCTATGTGAGTACACATCAGAAAATGCCGACGTTCTATAAAAATCTTACCATGTTTACGACCGAAGACAGCAGGGATCAAAAGTCAGAAGATCAAAAAGAAAGGACATAATAAAGTTGATAGCAGTTAAGTGGATAACGTTGAATGAAAGACAAGCGAGTTTATTTTTCGTGAATTCTAACTGAAGTTCCAAGGAAAAAAAATATATATATATATATATACACATATAAAGATGCAGGAATATCAGTGTTGTTCTGCATTATTCATGTCAAATGCCGGTATGAGGTTGTAATGCTGTTTGTTGCCCTGTTGTGCAACGTTTAGCTACTACATATAGAGATTTACGGCTTACCCGAGTCAGAAATTGAAGACGGAGCCAATTTTAGAAAGGGATTCGAACCCATCTTGTATGGTTTATAAAGTAGTTTTTTTTTTAATTTTTTATTGTTTTGAGAAAGACTTATTTTTGTATCGGAAAGAACTAAGAAAAATAAATGATTGAAAAAAGTTTATAAAGGGTTAAATTTTATCGCATAAAGGTTAAATAAAGTTGTGACATGTTTATAACTCAATCAATCAAAAATAGATTAGATCTCTCGTCAAATTCGTTTTGATGTGTTGGGTCATCGTGAAAGAATTTGATGACAAAAAGATGATTTAATATTAATAAATTATATTACGATGTTTTTTTTAACATTTCTATTTATGTACAATCTGTTCTTTTAGTCAAATATAATTCTGTTTGACTGTAAACTACTGTTAACATACAGCAAATCAAACACCAAGGTAGTTTAGTCGAGAGCACATGTGGCTAGCATATGCAAACAGTAAAATAAATTTTACATGTAGATGCTAATGTGTAGAGTTTCCGATTTATTTTTTTTTATAGAATAAATATTATACGTTAAATATTNATACATTTTTAGGTTAAACTTTGTAAAAAAATTAATTTATTAACATTGTTCTGTGTTAGAATATGACTAAATTAAAGTTATATGAAGAAAAAAATAACGTGGATTTTCCATTTAAAAATTGTCATTTCACCGTATGTCGTTAATTATCCATCAAAGAAAATACAGTCTCTTGCAAAACTAGACAGGAATATTTTTTTTTTTTATATACAGTATATATATATTTTTTTTTAAAGGGGGAGAATATAGGAATAAATAAATAAATAAATAACAAAATATGGTGTTATTGTTTTCGAACAGACTCGCATCGGTACGGTAATAAGTCTTTTTAGTAATAAAATTAATGGATCGTTCATTCTTATGTTGTATCCAGGTTTGTGTACAAACGCCTCTGTCGGCATTAACACAAAAAGAAAGAACAACATAAAATATCAAAGCACATACAGTAATAAACGTTTTGAATTGCTTTTATGAGAAAATAAAGTCGTTGATATGTTCCTAGAATGCATTTAGGTATTTATGAGTTTTTATCATTATCGGCGAGCTCGAAAAATTCTAACAGTTCATAGTATAATACGAGTTAAAAAATTTATTAATTAAATGTTATTATTTTTTTTTGTAGGTTTATTTAACATAAATAATACATTTTTTAAGGTTTTTTTTTTCCTGTATTAGAATATGTCTATTTAATTAAAATTTTGATTTTTGGTTTTTTTTTTTTTTTTTAAATTAAAATATACTTCAATCTACCTTAATTTAGTTATTGATAAATATATTTAAATTTTATGTTTATTAATAATTACATTTGGGAGTAATGTGGTATGAAAAGTAAATTTTTTCTAGTGTTATGCCTTAGGATAACGTTAAATTAAAGCAGGAAAAAAAATCCAATTTTTATTATTAATTTTATTTTTTTTTTATATATAAACTATCAATTCATCTTATCAAAGAAGTTTAGTTTATTAACATACATTTTTAGGTTAAACTTTGTAAAAAAATTAATTTATTAACATTGTTCTGTGTTAGAATATGACTAAATTAAAGTTATATGAAGAAAAAAATAACGTGGATTTTCCATTTAAAAATTGTCATTTCACCGTATGTCGTTAATTATCCATCAAAGAAAATACAGTCTCTTGCAAAACTAGACAGGAATTTTTTTTTTTTATATACAGTATATATATATTTTTTATTTGCAACATTCTAGAAAATTTATGGTCTTTAAAGTAATAAAATGATTAATGGTTTCTCTTTTAGTAGAATTATAAATTCTTTAATAGGCAGGCAGACTCATTGTTAAAAGTATTTTTGTAATCATAAAAAGTCTCGCTAATGCCTACATACTTAGGCCAAATAAGGCAAGGATAAATTATGAGACGTTCCTAATTGTAAAATGGATTTAGCAGATGTTGTGCATCTCAAGATAGACATCATCTCGGTAAAGCTATCACGAATATATTTCTCATTCTATTTTTATATATGAAGTAGATTGAAAGAAGGATTTATAACTTTTAAGGGAATACCGTGTAGTAAGACCACGTACTCTGCCAAAAGTATGGTCTTAAATCTGACAACACTATCTCTTCTTGGCTCCGTCCCCGATACCTCTTCTGTTGCTATGACGACAGATACGAACGTTGACAAGTTGGAGAAATAAACATGTCCATGTGATGAGTGAATAGTAACTTCTGTTTTCCAATAAAATTGATAGCTGCCAGGATAGAAAGTTTGAACCCGTCATCACTCGTAACGTTTATAACCCCTACGCGAAATGGCCGCGGATAACGCTTTTTTAAAAAAAAAAAAAAAAACATGTAAAACTAGGCGTATTTTTAAGCTAGAGAAAAGTCGAAAATGTCTTCTGGCTTGCATCATTTACTGAAAACTCTTGGAGACTAAGAGTGTTTGTGTCAAAAGATTGATAGCCCTTTCCACAGAGGCCGCTGAGTGATGCAGACCGTCTAATGGCCGCTGGAGGTCAGTCATCTGTCAGTGTTGGGGACAACCTGCTTGTTGAGGGTCAACAGCCCTTCTGTCAGGGATGCTTCAGAAAATCTTTTCCTCCTGCTGCAAACATGTTTGTTTATACTGTTTTCTAATTTAATTTAATTCTTACTGTTAAATTATTAAATTAAAATAATAATAATAATAAGTATAGAGTTTTAAAATATTTATCTATAGGGATATATTTTAAGGTTCAAAGAGTAAGGCTTTGGGGTATATTTTTATGAGATACATGGTCCAACATGACAGCGGTAAGACTACTTAACTGATCGTTAATTACGTTTCTGTGTTAAGCAACAACTGGCTCCGCAGTTAAATGCTACAGAACCAATCAATCATGACCATCATTCTGCACGCGAAGGGACGATGGACCTTTGATAGTCGTCAAACAGGCCCTGAAAGGAGGCATCCCTCTCAAGTTTATTCCCTCCACAGTTTACTACCAAAAATGAACAAGCTGTAAGCTTATAAATCTTGTAATAAACAACGTTATAAAACTACAACTTTCAAAAAAAAATATATATATATAATATATTATTTTTAGAACAGAATCTAAATATATAATATCAGCAAAATTCTAATAAATTAAGCAAGTTTAATAAAATTGCAAAACCTTAATGTTTGTGTATGAATAATGTTAATAAACAATTAAAAATTCTTAATTTGTTTTACTGTACACATCATAATTAATTCAAAAAATAAGGGAGGAATATATATATAATAAAACGAGAGAAATTTTAAAACACCAATAAGAACATAAAAAATGCATTTATCGTAGTTTATTCTTGCAATTCCTTCATTTCCCTCAGTGAATATTTTTTAACTTTATTTTTCATATTTAACAAGCATCACGTGCTTTGCAATATGGTAACATTCAGGGAGGTTTGAGCGATAAATCTGGCTGGAACAGCATCCTTGTGTTGTCACGTTTTCTGTCCATCGGATCTCTTTGAAAGTTTCAAGATGTAAAGAAAGATAGTCGCTATGAAGCAGACTAATTGATGAGTAACGAGTATATCCTCCGCAACACACTCCCAGTTCGTATATAGCAGCAGGAACGACATTGTAATAAACATGTTAACGTGTCCGCAGCTGTTCTAAAATGTTTTTATAGTTAATTGAAGAAAAGAAAGTTTACTACGTGTTATATTTATTTTTTGATAATTTTAGAAACGTCATTTAGAAATGTTTGTTGCAACTTTGCGGTATTATGTCGTTAATACATCTTAATAAATTAAAAAAAAAATTGGCCCCGAGCGGTTCTTTTATGTATGTAAAAATAGAAAGTAAAAGAAAACATTAAAAACTTACGGTATAATTAGAAAGTCCAATATAATTTTTCGTATAATGTAAGGTAATAAGCACTATTTAGTTTTGTTTAATGGATGTAGTTTGTATTATTTAAGCACAAAAACAAATTAAACTTGTTAACAGTTTGAAAAATTCTTACAAATTTTTCTTTTATACGTCTCTTTTTTTTTCTTTTTCTAAAAAGAAACCGAATTACTTTCCTCTAAAAACAATGCTTCGTCTAACATACACGCGAAAGAAGACTTAGAAATCATATAAACACTTAATTAATAGGTTAAAGTAATTAATTAATAATTAGAATATAATGAAATTAATGCAGCACCGAATACTTATCTCGGACCTCATAATCCAACAAGTGACCTCGAGATAGGTGAGTAGGAAGCGATTCTGATTAGAGGATAAATAAAAGTAAACAAATACCACCCTTTTAGTGTGAAGTGGCAGAGGTTAGCAGCCTTAACAACTCTCCGGATGAAGAATTTGCAAGAGGGCAAAGGAGTGCACATTTCAGCTTTTGAGTAGAGTTTAGTACTATAAATATACCTTTTTAATAAATTAAATACAGTTTATATTAATAAACTTCATTGTTTTAAAGTCACGATTAATGGATTAAAAAAAAAATTAATAAAGAAATCGGTCACGAAAGTATATATATATATCAATTATTATTTCTATCCTCTTTCACGTTTAAGTTTCATTTATGCCGTATAGGCTTTCATCTATGGAAATAATTCATGGGTACATTGACATTCCTCGTGCTACATTCTCAAACGTATAGCTAATTGTAGCAGTCTTGGACAATTACAGCCATTGGTAACAGACGTATGAAGCCTGACAATTACTGCAATTACATGTAATGAGGCATCCAACACAGGACAAGCAATTCTAATTATAGGCAGTTAAATTCACGTCGACTGTAACATATGTCGTACTCCAAAGTGAGAAAAAATCTTACTTTAAACTGTAATAACAATATTAATGATGCATTTGTAATTGCAAATGTTTAAAGATGATCTACTACTGTTACTAACGTTGACCAAGTTGCATATATAACTCATCCTTTCGAGTTTATCATTTTCTCTACACTTAATTAATTTTACAATTGGTTTACTTTTTATTCGCCATAATTTTCTACGACAATGAACTCGACAACAGTTATTTATCATTCTTATTTTAAGTCAACACACGAAAAATCATACTCAATTATGACGTCACGAAAAGAGATTATTTTTCTTTAAATATTATCCTCTACGTTTTCGTGTTTGTTTTAATTAATAAGCAATTTTTATATCGTTTTTTTGACACATAAAATACAATTTATATTATAAGTAAGAGCGATTTTGATTGAAATTTGACACATAATCAGTGACGTCAATGAGTTATCTGACACAAAATCTTCATGACGTAATTATTTTTCAATGAAATTATTTAAGTAAAACACTATAAAATGCTGTAAGAAGTATTATATTAATTACGTTATAATAAAGTTAATTAGAGTCTGTTAAAATACGAGATTTTTTTAACATTAAAAAGAAGAAGAAAAAAAATAGTTAAGGAAAGAAAAAGAGTAAAAGTGATATTAGACCACTGCTAGTAATCTAAAGTAAAGTTCCATCCGTTATAAAAAAGACAAATAGTTTATAAAAATCATTTTTCAGATGGGACGACGTTAAAACACTATCATAGATGACGTAAGGCTTATCATGGCGCTCAAAATGGCGTCATTTACTGGCAATACCATGCCACCTGGTGCAGTGGCGACTAACGTAGCGTAAAGCTACCTGTAGATAGTTGAAGGTTGTCAGAAATGACAAATAGGTCATTGGTAGGTCTTACATCACACCAAATTTTCCCCTATTGGACACGGGTAACGATCCGAACGCACCTAATGGACGTTATCACTCACAGCGTGTGACGTCAGATCGTCTTGGGAAAAATGGTGTCCAAGATTGTAGCAACTTGATATTACACGATAAACGCCAGCAGTATTTTTACGTCAGAACTAACTAAAATAGTTATTAGACATTCAGTCATCATGCCATATAGATTTTCTAATGTTCAAACCATTGATTATACCCCATATTTTAATACAGATTTAGCCTTCTTTTTAATGTTTTTAAGTGTTCAACATATTATTATTATTATTATTCGAAAACGTAGGCATTAAATTTAATCTGTCAAAATTCAACAGTCTTTTGACAATGTAATTATTATAATATGTTCAAACTCATTTGACGGAACTACTAAAAAATTAATACTTTATTTTTATACACTTAATTCTATTATATTGATACCAAAAAAAAATGACAACAAGTATGCAGGTCACATTCTAAGGCATCTTAACACCCACGGTAGTCTAAGCTCGTTCAGGTGTTAACTTCTGCATACAAAATTAAAGAAAAGGTGAAGTCAAGAAATGCGGATGGTCTTTTTTTTTTTTAATTAACATTTTCTTTAACCTGTTGACAAGAGAATGACGCCTAAATTTATTATGAATCGAAACAAATTAGTAAGGGCTGAACGTGTGTCACCACCTTCTTTAATGGGCAGATAGACGAACTGCCCCATATAGAATATGTTCACCTTTTCGAGAATTTTTATGATTAAAAAACAAGTTAAAACCTGCATTGTAAATGTTTATATTATATTAAAAAAATTTTCTATTATTAGATTAGGTTAACTCATTTAAAATTATAAATCTTACATGTTTGCGTAAATAAAATATGACAAGAGTTTTTTCCGTTTACATTCCCCCATTTTGTATTCTAGATAGGAATGAACTTAACAACGTGTCGTTTGTGAAACTTCCCTATTTGTTTTGCTATAATACGATACCTGTACGATATATCAACATCTTGACAGTTGAATCAAGGTAGAAATCATGTTAATTTTTAAAATTGCGTGTTTGATATCCATAAATATACAACCGAAATATTAAATTCGATACATTCATAATTATCCCTGGTGTATACGATTGTTTGGGTAGAAGATAAATCATAAAGGAAAAAAAGAAAAAAAGTTACACTTTGTACGCTTCTTTAACGATCTTTTCTTCTATAGTTACAAACTTTTCTACACATATATTTTTAAAAAAAATCTTTAACAATGCATATATGCTAATTTACATTTTAACACGAGTACCAAAACAATCGTAAAAAGAGATTATTTTAATCTAAAAGCCAAATAAAATAAAGGGGGGAGAACGAGGGATGAAGTTTATAGGCACGTAACTCTTAAACGTAGAGAACGAGTCCATTATTGTCTAGACCTCTATGTAACAGGTCATGGTAATCCTCTTATCAAATAGGTAAAGGGTGAGAGTAGTTATGACATCTATTGTCTACGGCGTGGACCGAACCATAGTCAAAAACCGGCTTTATATAATAGGAATCTGGTGTAACTCCCCTCTTGGGTTATTAACGACGAACCTTCGGTACATTAGAAGAGGTAATAGTGCATGCACATTGAGTGTCCTAAGTCGTAAATTTCGTTTTTTTAGTACACCATCCGAGATCAAAATAATCCAGAAGTCGTAAATAGCGAAAAGCATCTTAGAAGAGCTGTTTTGTATTGACTACAGCCATAACTGGGTCCAGTGCAGATGACAAAAGGCGATAAATCTTCTAACACGAACATCTTACCTCTATAATAAACGAACGTCTATGACTCATATCATATATATATATATAATTTTAAAAAGAATGGGAATATATTATACCCCCCCTTCTCTCATAAATAGTAATTCTTATTCAGAATTGTTTAATAAGTTATAAAAATTATATATAATAATAATAAATTATGTTTGCGGTTTTCTTTTAATCTATGTGAGTACACATCAGAAAATGCCGACGTTCTATAAAAATCTTACCATGTTTACGACCGAAGACAGCAGGGATCAAAAGTCAGAAGATCAAAAAGAAAGGACATAATAAAGTTGATAGCAGTTAAGTGGATAACGTTGAATGAAAGACAAGCGAGTTTATTTTTCGTGAATTCTAACTGAAGTTCCAAGGAAAAAAAAAAAATATATATATATATATACACATATAAAGATGCAGGAATATCAGTGTTGTTCTGCATTATTCATGTCAAATGCCGGTATGAGGTTGTAATGCTGTTTGTTGCCCTGTTGTGCAACGTTTAGCTACTACATATAGAGATTTACGGCTTACCCGAGTCAGAAATTGAAGACGGAGCCAATTTTAGAACGGGATTCGAACCCATCTTGTATGGTTTATAAAGTAGTTTTTTTTTAATTTTTTATTGTTTTGAGAAAGACTTATTTTTGTATCGGAAAGAACTAAGAAAAATAAATGATTGAAAAAAGTTTATAAAGGGTTAAATTTTATCGCATAAAGGTTAAATAAAGTTGTGACATGTTTATAACTCAATCAATCAAAAATAGATTAGATCTCTCGTCAAATTCGTTTTGATGTGTTGGGTCATCGTGAAAGAATTTGATGACAAAAAGATGATTTAATATTAATAAATTATATTACGATGTTTTTTTTAACATTTCTATTTATGTACAATCTGTTCTTTTAGTCAAATATAATTCTGTTTGACTGTAAACTACTGTTAACATACAGCAAATCAAACACCAAGGTAGTTTAGTCGAGAGCACATGTGGCTAGCATATGCAAACAGTAAAATAAATTTTACATGTAGATGCTAATGTGTAGAGTTTCCGATTTATTTTTTTTTATAGAATAAATATTATACGTTAAATATTTACTTAAAGCATCTTTTAACTAAATTTAACCACCTTTTCTTAATTTATCCCCATGCAAGTATGCTTGTAAATAAGCTTGTTTATTGTATAAATATTAAAATAAGAATATATATATATTTTTTGAATTTATGAAATTTAAATTTATTAAATAATTGAAAATTAAAACTTTTATCTGTGTAAATACAATTTTATTGTAACAAACTGCCTCCACTGTAATGGAACTCTCAGAAACAGTGACACAGTCGAAGTATTAATTTTATCTGGAAAAAAATCGAAAGAAAATATAGTAGAAATAAACAGAATGGGGGAACAAAAACATGAAAGTGCTGCAAATTGAATTTCAAACAGCTATGTTGTTAGAAGAAAACAAACTTTTCAAAATTATTTATATAACAAAAAATATATATTTATATCTATCTTAGCTGTCGTCAGAGGTTTTAGTTTAAGAGCGAGGTTAACTGCCAAAAATGAGGAGGCCAGCCTTCTGTACAAAGCATGCCTATGTACATTTTTATATATTGGGAAATTTTTCTAATATCCAGTCCTCCTCTGTTTGAAAAGTCGTTGTGGCATATATTATACATATCTATGTATTGAGCCATGTCACTGTACACTTACTATTCACATACCACAGTTATATACATCGGGTCTAGGGGAACCGTCGTCGACAATCATCGAAAATTCTCTCCCTCTCTCTCTCTCTAGCTCCAGCTGAAAAACATAGATGTTTTTGTTTCTATTATCCAGTTACAAGTAGTCTTCTATGTACTATATTTACAGCTCTAAAGATAAGAGCTAAGGATGAACAGGAGGTCCTAACCTCTGACCGTAAAGACTATAAGGAGAATAATACATTCCGAGTGAGGGGTGTGGCAGAGATGGCAAAGGGGCTGTAGGAAATGCTGGTATAGATGGTTTATAAGGGTGGTACCTATTGGCCGACAAGCCCGTCACCGGACTTAAACTCGTAGGATAAGTTCGACGAAGTCCTGCTGGTGTAGTGAGAGATGGTGCAGAAGTATAATGAAGGTGGCAAGCAGCCAGGCCGCCTGGAGATACGCTGAGAGCTGGTGAGAAGACTGGTAGAGTTGTGGCGCTGTCTCCTGCTGATAGATTTGTGTGAGTCCTCAAATGTTGAAGTAACTCTTCAGAAGTAGCAAACCTCTTCCCGCAGTAAGTATCTCCCACCATCCAGCTACAGACGTTCGGCCTGGCCAGAACAGATGGAGAATATAATTGAGAGTTAAAACCTGGCATACCAGGTCCACCTCCAGCAGGTGAAGTCGAACCAGCTAGACTGGGCATGAGACTAGGTAGACCTGGTTGTGCTGCTACCAGTCTGTCGTGGGTACACTGAGTGCATCCACCAGGACATGATGACAATTGAGCACTTTGCAGACTGAATTGGCAATTGGTACAGTACGGATCTCGACAGACGGGAACCAAGGTGGTTCCTCCGGCAGCTGTTTTAACTCGAGCATATCCAACATATGGAGAAAGTGTAGAATAACTGCTTGGCTTCAGAGGACTCATTCCACTTTGCGTGGCGATGCTGGGTGGGAAGGTGTGTCCTGTTGCCGCCGCATCGACTGGGATGGGCCCTCCAACCGGTGTACACCCAGCACAATTGACCAGAGGATTAATGGCATTGTTTAGACCTTTATATGCACCGAGTCCTAGATGTGTCAATGAAAGACTGTCTTTAGTTGAAGAACTATCTCCTCTGGCGAGATCGAGTCCCAAAGAAGAACCGTACCCTAATCCACTTAGGGTATTCTGACTCGCAGAACCGGAACCACACGAATTTGGTAAAGATGACGATTCGGATTTCGGTGTGTCTGAAGAAGGCGTAGACTTCCCACAAGGACCTACACTTCCATTACCAGAAGGAGTCGTATTACCTGTAGCAGGTGTTCCTGACTTGGATGTTGGTGTTTTGCTTTCGTTGTCACTATTTTTTTCTTCCTTTTTGGAAGATTCGTAAGGTTTGAAGGATTTCTCTTCCATTGATTTCTCTTTCGATTTCTCTGCGTCTTTAGATTTTTCTAAAGTCGGTATTAACGGTTTATGATTCGGATTATCCGCTCCTATATTGCTGCATGTTTGGGCTAGAAGGGCCAGTGGACTCTTTTTAGCATCCAGCTGAAAAATATAAATATTAATCATCAACCACTATACAAAAATAACAATTTCTTCACTTAAAAAATGTAAATAAAATTTATAAATTCTTTTTAATAACACACGTTATTTATACTTGATATTTTATGCAATAAACTATGATAATATAATTATATAAGAGTCAGTATCCTAAATTTTATCAGTATAATTACGTAACATAAATAAATCAAAGAGATAATATCAGTTTCTTAAAATGTTTAAAAAAAAAAACACCATATTAATTATATATAAAGAAAAATCATTAATTTTTCTAATAGTAATCAATATAAGTTTTAAGTTTTAGATTCAAAGAAAAACAAAATAAAATTTATGAAAAGATGCCAACCAGTAAATAATGAATATTTTTAATGATATCAAAGATATAATAAAGAAAATTAGCAAGGAAGAATATTTTATTCCAAGATATATCGTGAGAACTGGTATCATCAATCAAGTGCCGATTGACAACTAATGACATGGAACACGCAATGTGTGGCACTTTAATTATATAGGAGTGATATCTTGCCGAGAAACAGACCACATTTGTAACCGCCAACTGACAAGGTCTAGATGTTAACTGATTAGTCATCAGTTAATGTTGACCTATTCAGTTGCTTATCTCTTATTTTACCTACTAAAAAAGTACTAGATGTGTGTTTTTGATATATTTTCTTTTACAAAACATTTTAAACGGTATTCTTTTCCCAATTAATTATCGACATTCGTCTATTATATACGTATGTGTAGAGCCAAGAAAACTGCCACGAATCTATACGAATTTGTTAAAATGTTGGCATTGTATTCGAATAGTGTCAGGGACCTGACCTATTGAAAACTGGCCAAATTGATCCAAGGTTTATACAAAATGCGGCCAAAAATAATATCGTACTTATAGCTGGAACGATTACAAGTTACATTTTTATAATTTAACATAACAGCGATACGTTAAAAATGTTATATACGTATATATAAATAAAGTACGATGGGTTGGCAGATGAATGTAAATTTTTTTAAAAAAAAAATCTATTACAATTGGCTTTGAAAGTAAAGAGTTAAAAATAATAAAAGTTATAAAGATAATTAAAAAAAATGATATATAACCGTTAAAAATGAACTTATGTCCCTGCCTACCTCAAAATTTTCCAGATATTTAGGCTGTGACATACGGCAACCAAGCAGGATTTCGTGGGATTAGTGAACATATACAGGCCTACATAGAAAATTAATCATTGGTCTTGAAAAGCCATAAAAACTGGACCAGAACCGCTTTTGGTATAAACCGACTTGGGTGTAATCCCATTTCATGCTTTATGGCTTAAAGATGATTACATAAAAATGGTAATTTTATACTTCGCCAGAAAAATTTAAATCTGTAATTACGAATATTCTTTTTTTTTTCCTTCCTTCTTCAACTTTTTACAATATCCAAATATTAAAGATAAGAGTTAAATCTAGAATAGTAGACTGTCATTTTTTATATATTTTTTTACATGTGGTTGCGGCATTCTACTAATAAATTCTTATGATGATAATATTTTTGTTATAAAATAATACATATAACTCGTTCCTAGTTTATACGAACGTATGGAAAGAGAAAGATTACGGTGATTAAAATAGCAAATACGATCAGCGAATGTACTGTAACTTACACGAAGCAGATCGTTACAAACCGTTGATTGTGTGCCTACGATTTGTGTGCAATATAAACAGAAATAAAAAGATTTTTACCGTATATATATCACACAAGAACTGTGTTTAAACACCTTTTAAAATTTATATAAAATACTAAATAAATATTATAATATTTTCTCTCTTCGTTCGATATATTTTAAAATAAAAATAAATTAAAGGAAAAAAATAAAATAAAAATAAGTTAAATAAAATGGAGAAAAATAAGGAAAAAAAAAACAACCCAGTTTTATATATTATTTTATGGAAATAAATATTATTGTAATATATTAAAAACTAATCAATATAATTAATGGTTACTCGATGTAAATAAATAAAATCACAGACCAAGCGGGTATATATAAATATATTTAATTTATGAAAGCGATAAACTTCAAAACGGATATTACACAATATAAAATTTTTCTAGTCTTTTCTTTTTTTATTTAAAATTCTCTAGATATAATCTAGAATTATAATTTATTCGAGAAGAAAAAAAAAAGAAATAAATTTGAACCGGCAATACATGCTTGAAAATGTTATTTTTTTTTTCCTTTTCGAGTTTTGTCGACATAGTTGAAAGGTTAAGTTGATCTTTCCGAAATTGCCCCTTTTTCACCAGGAAGTTTTGCCTTACCTTAATTTACTTACACGTAACGTGTGGCACACCTGTGTCATTAGTTATAAATCATCGACGCCTTTTCTGTGTTTATGACAAGTTCTATGTTGACAGTATGCAATTAGCGTACCCTAAAGTGAGGCCAGGTGTATTCTGACAACCTTGTGTCACGATATTTGACCGTATGGTTGCCTTAGCAACAAATTGTCACTAGAACCGGGTCCGGCAATTAAAATACGGATCGTAAAAACCCGCTTGGTATGAGTCTATAACGCTTTTCCGGTAAGTGAAGCGCAATTATAACCATATATAGTATGTTAAAGATTTTACTGACATTATTTGCTCCATTTTATACACTGGTTTCGCCCTTTTCGTCCTTGTATACTGCAATAACTTGTACAAACTGATTAAAATCGTAAAATGGAGTCGTAGAGCGGTTTAATGTGTATCGTTACTTTAATTCTCTTAATGACAGTTAATGTTGTTATTACATGGAGGACGGACAGGGTGCCGAAAGTTTTTTTTTTTTTTTTTTTTTTTTAAATTGTAAAAACAGGCGGTTAGTACGAAATTCCGACACGAAGAGGCGCTACTACTGTGTATGTATGTGTGTGTGTGTGTGTGTGTGTGTGTGTGTGTGTGTGTTATGATGTCTCTTTAACTTGGTTTCTATCAAGCTGCCCAATAAATCGCTTTATTACATCAGTCGATAAAACTATCTTAAAAATCTACATTTATGGAGATAATACTCTACGAATGTAAGAATATAATTTATAATATAAAAGAATATAAAAATGGCCACGTAATTTGGACGAAACAAAACTCGGAATGGAAATTCTGCGTTTTATTTACATTTTTCCAAAGATACGAATAAAGTGTTAATAACGTTCAAAATGTTACTTACAGTAGTTGGTAAGGGTGATAGATAATCTGGCCTCAAATATTGATTGTTAGATGTTAACATCCTGCACGTCCAAACACTGGTTTTACGTTGCAAGTAATCCGTATGGTTCAGTGATAAGACAACACACACAACATCTATACTTCCTCACCGAAGTCTCGCTAGGCACTGAGCCGACTGGTGACTTAACGAAACCATCAACACAAGACGAGGGCGCCAGTAGCCAGATGTTGTCCAATAGCTGAGGGATTTCCTCCGCCAACATGCCTGTTATTGGCCGTGTGACGTCACGGCTGTCTGTGACGTCACGGAACGGCGGTTGAGCAAACGGGCCTATGAGAGCGGAGGGTAGCTAATGACTTGGCAAGATGCCAGGCGTCGCAGGCTACAAGGCGATCCATCAAGCGGCTGTCACAAGTGCCAATCACAGTTGATTTATGTCAGCTTTTGTTGTCAAGGCCCCACCGTGTGACATGGATGAATAGTTCAAATTGAAGACCGCAGGAAACGGCTTACTAATCTCGATCTGGGTTCTCGCTCCCCCTCACTCTCGTCCCCTTTGGTCGGGCTCTCAAAAGTTGTCGGCGTTCGGGGTTTGCAGATTGGCCCTAGGCAAAGGCTAATGACGAATTGAGTAGAGCGGGAGACTTCAAAAAAAAAAAAAAAAAGATAGGAAAGTTGGGACAATAGAGGTGGCTAATTTGAGGAGCAAAGGGTTACTGCGATCTAGATACAAATAAATCTCTTGAGTGATTATTTCAACGCCTTAGTTTTATATTTAAAAAAAAAAATTAAAATAATAAAATAATCATTTCATAAAGTCATAAATTATTTATTAACTTCGATTGTATTTAAAAAATATAAAAAACTTTATTGCATATAAACATCTTTATGTCTGCATTTAGTATATCGGATGACATGACTGGTAAAATATTCATAGTCAGACAAAGTAGAAATAATTTATTAGCAATGACTAGAGTGGAATATTCAATATATTTTAATGATACTGTCGCATTCATTATAATCTCGGGTCAAATGGCCGAATTGACTTGAATTACAATGGATGTAATACAGCAGAAATACATATTTCTTTTCATTTAATAATCAAAATAAATATATCTATATATAAATATATTTAATTTATGAAAGCGATAAACTTCAAAACGGATATTACACAATATAAAATTTTTCTAGTCTTTTCTTTTTTTATTTAAAATTCTCTAGATATAATCTAGAATTATAATTTATTCGAGAAGAAAAAAAAAAGAAATAAATTTGAACCGGCAATACATGCTTGAAAATGTTATTTTTTTTTTCCTTTTCGAGTTTTGTCGACATAGTTGAAAGGTTAAGTTGATCTTTCCGAAATTGCCCCTTTTTCACCAGGAAGTTTTGCCTTACCTTAATTTACTTACACGTAACGTGTGGCACACCTGTGTCATTAGTTATAAATCATCGACGCCTTTTCTGTGTTTATGACAAGTTCTATGTTGACAGTATGCAATTAGCGTACCCTAAAGTGAGGCCAGGTGTATTCTGACAACCTTGTGTCACGATATTTGACCGTATGGTTGCCTTAGCAACAAATTGTCACTAGAACCGGGTCCGGCAATTAAAATACGGATCGTAAAAACCCGCTTGGTATGAGTCTATAACGCTTTTCCGGTAAGTGAAGCGCAATTATAACCATATATAGTATGTTAAAGATTTTACTGACATTATTTGCTCCATTTTATACACTGGTTTCGCCCTTTTCGTCCTTGTATACTGCAATAACTTGTACAAACTGATTAAAATCGTAAAATGGAGTCGTAGAGCGGTTTAATGTGTATCGTTACTTTAATTCTCTTAATGACAGTTAATGTTGTTATTACATGGAGGACGGACAGGGTGCCGAAAGTTTNAAAATTAATGTATTAAAAAAAAGTAAAACCAGTCTTATTAATAATAAAAGAAAATGCAGTTGGAATCAATAACATATATTAATAACGTCACTCAACAGCATTTTTTTTTTAAAAGTTAAACAAATAAAATTAAAAATTATAATTAATCTTATATACATAAATTAGCATATATATTTTTTCCAGTCCTTGATACGTTTGAAAGAGTGGGAAAAAAAAGAATAATAAAATAAAAATATATTTATTACTTTTAGTATAGCAAGCAAGTATAGAAAGCAAGAAGATAAAGACTATGTTACGAAGAGAAAAATCTTTTACTAGCAGTTTTTTTTTTTTCCTTTCCTAATGACAATGATGATTGTTGGTACTTACATAAATAAGTTAACTTCTTCTCGGTTGTGGTCGACTACGAAACAATTCCGGTGACTCATCAATGACGAAATTCTATTGTTAAGTCTGTAATGTCAGTATAATTCCGGAAAATTCACTTTCTAACTTCCTGATTATCCGGAAAGGCACTCTGGTAAGCCACTTCCGGTTATCGCTTCACCGGATTCTTGGTTAAGATGCTGATGACTGGGTAGACTTTTGCTGAAGTGATTGATGACTCGGACAAGGGTTACATTATTATACGATCTACGGTTAATAAGACGTCCGGGTGAGTTGGCCTCAGGGGCCTTTACGGGGCCTCTATGAATTATACTGTCTGCAAACTTCTAAGTAGACGTTCCTACCGACCTTCTAAGAAAACTTTAAAAAAAAAAAAAAAAATAATAATAATAATAATAATAATAAAATAAAATAAAATAAAAAAATAGTGTTAGAATTATCCAGATAAATAGAAGAAACCTGTCGAAAATTATCCCTTTGAAGTTAACTTCCGGGGATATCGTTTGAGCTAAATTTGGGCGGGTTAGCCTTTACGAAACGAGTGAGTTGTGTCCTGCTTGTTTCGATAGACATGTCAGATAGCATTACATGCTGAATAACGATGAGATGGGGGGAGTGCCATCACTGCTAGGCCTATTTATTTGTCTTGTCGTTATCAGCAGTTGTCAAGATCCTAAGTGGACGGCAGTAAATCATCTCCCCCTGAGTCTAAAACCGCCGCCACCGACAGCCGAAAACCTGTTAAACTACAGGGGTGGGTTGTCGGCTGGGGCTCTCGACTTCTCACCACGTCTGACGACGTATTAACTCTATCGAAATCATTTCGTCTAATATAAAATTAACATGTCTAACGGGTAAACTTAAGTTAAATATTTTTCTTTCCCTTTTATAAATCTAAGAGAGAGAGAGGAAAAAAAAAAACAAGAGTTTAGTAGCCAGCTATCTAGCAAATATACAGAAGTCGGTTGGAAGTATGGAAGGGGGAAAAAAATGCTAGAAGGTTAATTTATTAAACATAAATTTACTTTATCTGTGTGATCAAATGTGATTTATTCCGACGACTTATCAATTGCCTTACAATCTACAGCGATAAGAGCTTTATTGTTAAACAAACCTTATATTGATTGGATGGAAGATAAGTGGATCCTTAATATCCGTAATTGCCGTATATTCTTAGATAAATTTATGCTTGATTTTCTCCAGATAAATTCATCCGTTTATGGTTAAATATTTTAAATTAGTGTCATTAATTTTTAAAAAGATATTTATACTCTTTACTAGATTTTTTTTTTTAAATTAACGAAGTTGTTTATATAATTTAATGGAAGTAATATTTTTCGGTAGTATATTTTACAATTTCACTTATAAATATTATTATTATTATTTTATTCTTATTAACAGAAAGATTTTTTTATTAACACTTTTCCACATCCTGTATTTATTGATTTAACATACCTTTAAATTGTTTATTAAAATATCTTATATTTTATTCATTTAAGTTTAAATTATAGAAATTTTATTTATATTTTTACTGTTAAATTGTTTATCATCTCATTACATTGTATCGTTATGTATTTTCTTTTTATCCATGTGTACTCTAAATTGCTTTCTTATCCTTCACTCTGCCTTTAGCAAATAAGTGAAAAGGGATAAACCACCCTTTCTTAATCTCTACTTTGTATTGTTTCCTTCCTTATCTTTTAAACATTTATAAGCCATAACTACTCTACTGTTGCATACAAAAGGCCAAACAATTAGAAAGTTATTGTTAAACATAATCATTAATCATCAAAATCGTGCATTTTAAAACAATTCTCGAAACGAACAAAAACTGTATATCAGTTGAGAATTTGTATATTAAAAATTCGGTTAAACAAATAGTTATTTTAAGCTTAAGTTATTCAAAATCAACAAACTTATATGGCGATATATAAAAATTAGAAGATAGAATTTCGCATCATCTGCAAAAGAAAAGATCCATAACATCAATATTATACAGCCGTTGGAGATCATAAACAAGAAAAAAAAAAGAGTCATGAAGTAGATTGTTTGCTATAGAAACATTCACAAACTACAGTATCTGGTGTCTACCAATGACAGATAAATCTATCAAGTAAAGGACCGGATATTTATAAGCTTCATGTACTGTAACATCCTTTCGATATTAACAGATATAATTCTTCGAAAACTTAAATAAGCCTCTTAGAATTTTTCTTTTAAAATAAAAAAAGAAAAAGTATTGTTAAGGTAATAAATAAATTTTTAATTTCGAGCTTAAAAAAATCAAATTTTCTTTAGAATCCGATGATCAGATCTGAAAATAGAAAAATTTAATTTTCATTATTTAAATTTGATAGCTTGTATCATAATTAAATTACATTTTATTGTTTGATGACTTCATTAATTCCATTCTGAATTATTTTTTATTATTATTATTATTTATTTTAAATTTTAAACATTTCGTTTATTTAATGATATTTTTCGGTGCTCTGTTGTTTTTTTTTTCTTTTCTTTTCTTTACATTTAACAATCAAACATTTAACCACAACATAAAAATAAAATAATAACTATTGTTGGCAAAGGGTAAATGTTCCAGTTAAAATCATACAGAAGCTCATGAATAATCATGAACATCATTTTCGTGCTTCAGAAAAGCATTAGCTGGCTAGATCTACATTTTTAATGGATCAAATTCGGTGCTAAAGATCTTAAAGTATTTTTAGTCGCTTGAAATTTTCATTTTACAGCTAATGACAATACCAAAATCATGTACAGAATTATTTGAGTATATTTAAATAAATAAATAAAAAAAAAATAAATTTATTCACCGATAATTATTGATGTCCTGGCATAAAAAAACTAAGCACGCATTTTAAATAGTTGAATTTCATGACTCATTCTTGATGAAAAGTGATGTGAGGAGTCATGCCATG